GTGAGCTATGACACCACAGTACTCGACCGAGGGCAATAAAGTGAGACTCTGTCTCAAAAGAAAAGAAAAAGGAAAGAAAACTACCAAGACTCTGAAAGCCCAGATAGACCCCATCTCCCAAAGGGAAGAATGTCAAAGAATCTTGGCCATTTTTAATCTGCCACACCCACCATGGGGCACATCATGTGGAAAGCACCTGAGGTTGTAGATGTTGAGACAGTCTTTCTAGGCAACTGTATTCTTGCTGGAGACGAAGGGTGTCAGAAGTCCCTGTTAGAGCTGGCTGCATTTTGAAAGAATAGAATGGGAGAAAATGATGAAGCTTATTCAGCCAATGGCAATAGTGGCCCAGAATTCCTCTCTTACCCATTTTCACAACAAAGATTGAGCCAGCCCTTCTGCCAAAAGCCTGACTGCTCCCATCAGGCCTTTCTCTCACTCAGACAGGGCCTGCCCCCATCTATCCTGACCACAGGGGCTCCACACCCTGGTTGAATAGGTCAGAGGAGAACAATCAGCAGAAATGGGCCACTGGAGACCTTTCAGCGTCTGTAAACACATAGAAAATTCAACAAAGTAGCATTTAAATAATCTGAACAATGCAGCCATTATAAATGCTGCTCTCATGAGCATTGATTCAGATGACAGCTTCGAAAAAGGATTTGAGCCCCTTGGAAATGGTAACTCAGAGCTCATGACATGTTACAAGGGCAAATCCAATGGGACAAAGATCCAAAGCAGCATTGAATGACTCATTTATTCATCCCTATTCTGTGCAAACCCAGGAGAATGTGACACCTTTTAAATCTCCTCCCCGATAGGCCACATCTATGGGGCATGAATAAAGTTAGCAAAAGTTTTAAAAGGATCAGAATGTTTCAGTAGGCAGCAATTACAACCATACTGATGCTTCTACCCAATTCTGCAAATCATCCTTGCTCTCACAGTCTTATGACTGAAAGAAGCCAAATGTGGTGACTCACGCCTATAATCCTAGCACTTGGGAGACTGAGGTAGGTGGACTGCTTGAGCTCAGGAGTTTGTGACCAGCCTGAGCAAGAGCATGATCCCATCTCTACTAAAAAAAAAAAAAATAAAGAAAGAAAGAAAAAATAGCTGGGTGTTGTAGTCCAGCTACTCGAGAGGCTGAGACAATAGGATTGCTTGAACCCAACAATTTGAGCTATGACACCATGGTACTCTACCCAGGGCAACAGAGACATACTCTGTCTCAAAAAAGGAAGACTGAAGGAGTGAGAGCTACATTGGGAGAGGAAAATCCTGTCTTTTATTCCCTTCTACCTACCCTCTTCACCAATCTATTTGAAGAGCCAGCCCTTGCCAAGCCTTCAAGTGGGAAATTCTTCATTGTGTCTGCCATCTAAGTAGTCATAATAGCATTCTAATTTTACTCCCCCTGCAACGTAATTTCCTCATATTCTGTGGGAAGTTTTTTGTGTTCTGATCACTGGAACAAACATCCCGGTTACTGTCTGCAGAGCTCTTGCATGCCCTGATGTTTCTCTTGCATGGTGGTGTCATGCAACGGGAAGAAAAAACACACAGTGGGAGCAGTGTCTGTGTAACTGAAACCCAAGAAAACATTCCCAGTAGGCTTCATGGTGAGCAGCCAGCACTCACTGGCAGGGTTGGGGCTGGGATGAGGCAGCCCGGGTACCTAGTATGGAAAGTGTAAGGAAGTGCCCACCCTATACTTACCTGGCATTCTGAGTGAGCCTCCTTAAATTTATACTTACCTGACACTCTGAGTGAGCCTCCTTAAATTTTATACCCTAGACACTTCACTGGCTTCACCCTAGTCCAGCCCTGACTTACTGTCTTCAGGCTTTCATTTTCCCATTCATTCCTCAACTTCATGCCTACTGTTGATACTGTGGGTGAGGAATATAGACTCTGTGTTGACAACAGTGTCAAAGAGAGCTTAAAAAAGGAAGAGTTGACTAATCAACTGTTAGATTACAATGAGGGATTTGGCCATATAGAGGACAGGGCTGACCCAAGACCAGAGGCCTCTCCTGGTCAGGCCCTGGGCTATAAGCCCAGATGGTGGAGGGAAAGGGTAGCCCTGTGAGAGTCACCTCAGGCCTTCCTAAAAGGCAGCTAGGGGCCCTCCCAAGAAGATGTCGGCCCTGCAGGAAGCTCCCTTCCCCTCCCAAGTGTGGGTGTCACTGGTCTGGATCTGATTCTAAAGCCCTCCATCACCCATTGCTCACTTCCTAGCCCACTGGGAACGCATCTCGCGTTGTCTGGGATGCAGCATGAGGTGCATGTACTTCCTTTTTGGCAGTCTCATACTTTCCCTTCATCCTCAATGTCATAAAGCCAAACCAGGCAGCTCAGAGCTAAGGAGAGAAAAACTGGGAGTCTCTGGTTTCTAGACCCCAACAAATGATGCACACCAAAGCAGGACTGTCTATCATGAGAGCAGGAGTCTATTTGAGAATCTCAAGAAAATGGGATCTTCCCTTCCCCTATGCTGCCCCCCTACACACAACTCTGGGCACTTTCATATGCTACCCTGTCCTCTACCTTCCAGAAACCACTTCTGTAGTCTCTTTCCGATGTATACAACCCCCACTCCAGCTAGCACTTTGTATGGTCTTCCTGGAAAACCCATTCAACTTTGTGGATTTAAAATAGGAAAATATTTAGAGAGAAGACAACTAGGATGGTGGAATCAGAGACCCACAAACTCGACTTTGGATTCCATTCAGCAGGGGGCATCTACAGAGCAGAGGAGACCACTGGGCAACGTCACTGTGTACAATCCATGGATTGTTTGGTGCTTTTAATAATGTCTGAAGAAAGTATTCCCTTCCAGAGGGCTCCTGCCTGCATGACTCAATCTTGGAGAATCATTATAGACTAATCATCATTATGAAATGATCATATTTCAATTATCCCCTTTGTAGTCTGGGTACATTAAAGTAACTGTGAGCTCCCTTGCTGAGAGAAGTTCGTTAAAACCATAATGTGCCTAAGATTTTTTTAAATGTGTCAGAAAACAAGGGGGAACATCCTGAAAACAACAACAGAATCTTTCAGAGGTTTCTCTGGCACACAGTCAGAAACCATAATCTTGTTTTGTGTTCTGTGCTCTGTAATGCAAAACCAAATAGACTGTTCCCTTTCAGCCCAAATACGTCCTGACTAGCGAGGTATGTTTACCCATCCACACATGTGTGAGATACCCCCAGGCCCTGGTTAACACTGCCAGAGTCTACGAACATCATTCAAAGAATTGAGTTGATCCTACTATTTGTGGCCTAATCATGTTCCTATCGGCACAGTCCCTAACCTGTTGGAGAAAAGGAAAAGTTGTCATCCCCTGAGAAGGAGTCCTGAAGAAAAAATTTAAAAGAACGAATAGATCTCTACATGTAAAAATCATCATTTATTATTACAGAGAAATCAGAAACCCACCTCTGTATCTGACAACAGTAAAATGGTTGAGAATAGAATATTAAGCATGGAGTGGAAAGGAATGAGAATGAAATGGAAAATTGTGCAGCCATTAGCAGTTGGTGCTAATGATGTGGGCAGTGGCAATGTCAAAAGTTGTCTTTAATATAAAGCTAAAATGTTAAAAATGTCACCTAAACTGTGATTATAACTATTTAAAATAAATGCTCACATATAAGGCTGGGCACAGTGGATCACACCTGTAATCCCAGTACTCTAGGAGGCTGAGGTGAGTGGATTGTTTGAGCTCAAGAGTTCAAGACCAGGCTGAGCAAGAGCAAGACCCCCATCTCTACTAAAAGTTGAAAAACTAGCCAGGCCTCATGGCAGGCTCCTGTAGTCCCAGCTACTCAGGAGGCTGAGGCATGAGGATTGCTTGAGCCCAAGAGTTTGAGGTTGCTTCGAGCTATGATGATGCCACAGCACTCTACCCAGGGTGACAGAGTGAGACTCTGTCTTAAAAATTAAGTAAATAGGCTCGGCGCCTGTGGCTCAACCGGCTAAGGCGCCAGCCACGTACACCTAAGGTGGCGGGTTCGAATCCCCAGCCCGGATCCGCCAAACAACAATGACGGCTGCAACCAAAAAATAGC